CCGTTGCGCGGTTCCGCTCCGTGGACGATCGGCATCCTGGATCGCGCCCGGAGGGATGCCCGATCGGTGTTCGATGTTTCGGCTTCAATCGCGCGAAGAGGCTCTCTCTTTCTCTCTCGCTCGCTCGCTGTCTCGGTGAAAGCCGGACGGTTGGAGTTTCGGCAGTATCTGTCTGTCTTAATTAACGTCGGATCCGCGATAACTCGTGACTCGCGAAACACCGGGCGGCGACGAAGCCGCTAAAATTCCGAGACCTACTCTGGGCCGCGTAATGTCGTCTCGTACGTGCTCGTGCGCGACGCTCGAAAAAAAAATGCGCATTGCGAAGTTGCAACTGGCCTATATGGCTGTATGATATACTGAGAGAAAAAATATTTAAAAGATATACGTAGAGAGAGAATACTGCAGTAAAAATACAATACAATTTTAGCACTCCAGCAATAGACTGATACTGTGGCACTATGGAGAAAATCATAATAAAAGTAACCATGAATGTAGTAAACATTGCCATAAATCTAATAAAAATTATCATGTTTATGGTCATTTTTACTATATTTTATCGTACAACATGAGCCCGTCCTCCGTGTCTCTTTGATAACAGATTTTTTGCGTGGCCGGAGAGAGAAGAGAGTGAGAGAAATAGAGAGAGAGATCGAAGAGTCGCTCGTGATCGAGCGTGACGATCGTCGAGTGCGCGATCGATCGACGCCTCCATTTCCAGGACGATTGGAGAGCGCGCGAGACGAACGCGTCTATCATTCCGTAAAATTGATAAACGGTACCGTGATCTATGTGTCGTCGGACAACGGGAAGGCGAAAGGCGTGCGTCTGTCCGTCCATTTGTCTGGGAGAGCACGTAGCGGCCGATCTCTCTCTCTCTTTCTCTCTGCCTCTCTCTCAGGCAGATATCTCTCTCTCTCTCTCTCTCTCTCTCTCTCTCTCAGCGTTAGACAATTAGCAATGAGATCCGCTGCCGGCGGTTTCTCGCCGCGCTCCTACCACCGGAATCCTACGCCCTGCGATGCGGATAATCGCCGCTCGCGGACGGCTCTCCCTCCGGCCGTTCTTTCGTACCTTCGTTCCTTCGTTCGGTCGATCTTCGAGAGCGAACAATATTACCGGCAGGCACGCCACGAGCTAAGCGCAGAGAGAAAGAGAGGGGAGGGGGAGAAAGAGAGAGAAAAGGATGAGGAGATGGGGAAAAAAGGATCGGTCGAAGAAAGCCGAAGAGCGGGATTTATTATGGGGATCGTATGTCCCGTAAGAGCAGCCGTGAAAGTGCACCGCGCCTGCCAACTGATGAAGAGAGAAAGAGAAAGACAAAGAAACAGAGAGAGGGGGAGAGAGAGCCGCAACGCGGTGGCGGAGAGCAACGGCGGTTTAGCCTTTACGATTCCGGCCGTACTCGACATTCTGGTGCGCGCATATGATTAGTTAGCGGTAGATCGTAGCCGCGTATATAAATTATCGGCTAATCACGCGCTCGCTACTATCGCGCGGTATCTCATGCCTCTTTAAAGAAAGGCTCGCGAGTTGGCTTTCTTTAGTAGAAGGGGAGAAGAACGCAATTCGCAAAATAACGAAAGAAACGTGATAAGTTTCGGTGAAACGCGTTAACGCACATTCGCCGAACAGAAATTCACCAACTTTTACAACTTTTCGTCCGTATCCTATCTGCGTGTAGTATTATCCCAGTTGTAGCCTTATTCTGTAACTCGTTATTGAAGTTAACGACAGTTTCGTTATCGTTGCTTTTGTATATCGTAGAAAAGCTGTGCAACGATAACGAAACTGTCGTTAACTCCAATAACGAGTTACAGAATCCCAGTATTGGACAGGTGTACGTGAATTTGGCGGTAACTTTGTCAGTCCATTCATAAAGATTATGAATAAATAGTTATAAGTGACACTTCATAAGTAGTTAATGTGACACTGATACCTTTTCACGCGGAATCACGAAATGGAGATACAAAAGAGATACGCGAGAAAAGATGATCAAAATCTGCCCAAATTAATATGTAAAATGTAATGAAAATCCGAGTGTAATTTTTAGTAAATATGTCGTAGTAAATATCTCGGTATAACAAAAGTTTTATATTATTGTATAACGTAAATTTCATTTGATTCGATATATTATATATATATTTGCCTCTTTAATGTAATTGAAAAAATTGTGGAGTTTTCATTATCAATTGCTCATGTTGTGACAATCGCGGCACTCTATCTGACATTTGTCAAGGTTCTTTGAGTGAAATTTCACTCGAAAAGTAAGATAACCCATCGAATCACTCGAAAACTGATGTTTTATTCATATAGAGCGAATTCTCCACACTGAATCGCCGAGTGAATATTTTCACTCGAAATTGCAGAGTAAATCTGTGATGTACTCCACTGTTACAAAAACATATTCCAATCGATTACAATATTCACGCGCACAAATTAATTCTCCATTCAAAGCTTGAGTGAAATATTTACTTGAGATCCCGAGTGGCAGTGTCACACCGTTTCGAGTGAAAACACTGCCGCTTTCCATTACGCTTTCCACTCATTCTGAGTGACCTTTCGCTCCAAGAAATCTCGATGTGATATGTCAAAATGACAAAATGACAATTAGCCGAGCGATCAGCAGTCATGTACAATCAGACACGATGAGAATCATTAGAAGGACCTTTGATTCAGCAGACATAATGTAATTTGTCGAAGCTCCGTTTAGGCGTCGCTTGTCAAGGATGACAGTGCTGCGTTAGTTCGCATGAATCGCAAATTTCATCGTCACAGCGAGATATCGCGAAAGAAAGCCGGCCGATACACGTCACTTGCGCGTCAGCCGCATCCTTGGTAAAAACGTCCCGGCGAATGATAACGGCGGAACAGGCGAGTCGCGAAAAATCCGAATGGGGGGAGGAAGCGCGTCTTTCGGGCCGCTGCGGGACCTCGGCAAAAAGGTCGACGGGCCGTCGTCGAAGCTTCGGTCTTACGTAATTCCCGAGTTCGAACATCACCCCGGTAATCCAACTGCTGCGGTATCATGGACGACACGCTTCTTGCGGCCCTTGTAACCTGCCGATACGCTCGTTCTTACCCTTGCAAAACGGCTATTGCCGTTCATCCGCGCGCTCGCGCGCCATTTCTGCGAGCGCATCCACCGCGAAGAAACTCGATCGCGGGGCTCACGCGGAGCATCCGCAAAAAGGTGACGCGCGGGGATCAGGTGGAATTTACGGTTTGCCATAATCGTTCGGTTATGGCGTGCGCGCGAGGCGAGATGCATCGTAGATCCGCGTCATCGCCGCCGAACGATCGGCTGTATGAAGAGAAGAGGCACTACGCTCCACCGTTTTCCTAGTTTATCCCAGGATCCTCCTGATCCTATGCGACGAGAACGCAAGAAGCATCGCGCTAAGTTTTAACCACTGCCTCCGTGTACTGAGAAGAAATACTAGAAAATTTATTTCCGAAGTGTAAACTTTATTTCTGTCAATAAATTTTATATTCTACGAATAAGCTTTCTAGCATTTTTTTCTCAGTGCGTATCTCCGCTTGTGCAAATAATTTCTCGTAAAAATTTCTCGTAAAATCGCTGATTTATATATTGGGCGCGTTTAAGTGCATTTAAGTACATTTATATTTAATACACTGCAAAAAATGTTAAATTTAATATATTTCACATGTTTTAACTTATATATTCTAATTTTTATGTCGATTTATCACAAAGTAAATATATTCATAAAAATAACACTATTCATCTCTCTGCACGTTTTATATATAAAATATACATGTCATCAAGAGTATACGTGTTGTATATAAATTGTGTTATTTTAACACTTAAGCCTAATCTACAATGTGCTCTTTTCTTCCTGTTTCTTGTTCTCTGTCTTTTTTTAGTTTAAAACTTAAAGTATGAGTTAGAAAGAGATAAAGAAAAAGAAACAAGAAGCAAATAACACATTGTAGATTAAGCTTTAGAAGTTAAAAAAACACAGCGAAGGACTATCTGTTTTCCTTTTATAATAACAATCTAAACTTTTCACGAGAGAGTTTAAGGGAGGAATGACAAAATTTTTGCAGCAACATAATATTTAAAATTCGGAGCCTTGAAAACGCCGTAACTTTAGAATTCACCGTCCGTGCTAAACTCAGATTTCTCCTTGAACTCTTTTAAGTCATGCACGCGCTTTTTAAAGGAATTCAGGTAAACTGCTTTTAGATCGACCGCACTACTACTACCACTCCATCGTCTCAACTGTTTTCAGCAGTTTGTTCCTTGGCCGCTACGCGACGTGTTTCTCTCGTGATCAATTTCTATTAGCGAACCTTATATGAAGCCAGCCAAATTCAGGTTGAGTATTGCTTCTCGGCACACTGAGAGAAGAATTTAGTAAATATTATCAAAATTTGGTTGCTATTACTAAATGATAGACGTAAATATAGCGGGCCAAAGCTATGGCAATACTTATTAATTAATTCAGTTCTGTAAAATAAATTATTTATTTGACAGAAGTAAAATTTATTTGCTTCCAGAATATATTTGATAAATAAAACTTATTGAATAGTTGAGCAAAATAAGCGATTTTGTAATAGTTACAAAATTTTTGATAGGTTCAACCAACTATCTGTAATAATAGATATTGAAATGATATAATAGCTGCAAATGAATGAATTTTTCGTTGTGCTGCAACAAAACATACTTATACTGGTAACAAAATAGAACTCGTACCTACTGAATTTTTTATTATATAGGATATAACGATTTTTTATTATATAGGATATAACGATTTCATAACTATTATCAAATATCTGTTCATAACTGTAATATATTTTATATTAAATATTTAACATTAAGTAACTATTACTAAATTATTTAATTGATGTTACTGTGAATGCAATTACGTCATACTCCCGATCTATTAAATATTTGGTAATTATTATCATATTTAGTATTAGTTACTAAGGATTCAATGAATTTCTGTAACTAAATGCAGTTTGTTATAGTTACCAGTCTTTTCTCTCAGTGTACTATGTGCTAAGATCAAAAGTGTAGTATCTGTTCTTATCAGCTTAATATCTGATACAACCCTCCCATAGGGGGTTCAGACTGTTAAGTGATTTTTGGTAACAGGCGGGTACCTCGAAGCTTGCTTCGGTCCTACCAATGGTCGTTCTGGCACTGCACTACACTGAGAGAAAAGACTGGTAGTAACTATAACAAACTGCATTTAGTTACAGAAATTCATTGAATCCTTAGTAACTAATACTAAATATGATAATAATTACCAAATATTTAATAGATCGGGAGTATGACGTAATTGCATTCACAGTAACATCAATTAAATAATTTAGTAATAGTTACTTAATGTTAAATATTTAATATGAAATATATTACAGTTATGAGCAGATATTTGATAATTGTTATGAAATTGTTATATCCCATGTAATAAAAAATTCAGTAGGTACGAGTTCTATTTTGTTACCAGTATAAGTATGTTTTGTTGCAGCACAACGAAAAAATTCATTCATTTGCAGCTATTATATCGTTTCAATATCTATTATTACAGATGGTTGGTTGAACCTACTAAAAATTTTGTAACTATTACAAAATCGCTTATTTTGCTCAACTATTCAATAAGTTTTATTTACCAAATATATTCTGGAAGCAAATAAATTTTACTTCTGTCAAATAAATAATTTATTTTACAGAACTAAATTAATTAATAAGTATTGCCATAGCTTTGGCCCGCTATATTTACGTCTATCATTTAGTAATAGTAACCAAATTTTGATAATATATACTAAATTCTTCTCTCAGTGTACAGTCAGGTGCGGCCCTTCTGAGCTACTTCAAACACAAAGCTCTCTCTTCATTCTCTTCGACATTTCGCGAATTCGAAATCTGTCTTATTAACGCGGCTATAGATTATTTGCTTCACAATAGCATAACGCAACCTATGTGTCTCGCGATTATTTTGCGACTGGAAGAAGTAAAGTAGACCGCTTCGGAGTTTCTCTGTTCGGGGAGAAGCCGCGGTCGTGCATCAAAATGCGTTCTGGTAAGCCCGAAGACGCCTTCTTTCGGCGAGAGCAAAAGTGGCCGTTGCTAGTAGAAAGTCAAAAAATTCGTCGGAGCGAAGGAGGCTTCTTCTTGCTCGCGTCGATCCGCTTGGATCGCAGAAATAAGGCTGCAGAAGCGTGCCTGATTGGTCTACGACACAACCGCAGGCCGACGTGCCGAAAAGCATCCGAGCGCGATGATGCTGCCTTCCCCTTTCCACTTTAACGCGTTTCATCATTCCCCGTCTTCGTAGAGATACGTAGACGAACGCGATGGAACAAGAACTTGACGACGACATATTTGTGAATATAACTTGTCGAAATATACTGCTACTATATTCATCACATTCCCCCGGCTTCTTTTTTAATTCTCATTCTCCCTCATAGAGCGGAGAATTTGAGAAACCAGTCAGAAACTGTCTGAATAGGTATCTCGGTTGTTCAGAAAAAGCTGGAAGAGAGCTTTGTGTTTGAAGTAGTTCAGGAGGGCCGCAACCTGACTGTAGTGCAGTGCCAGGACGACCATTGGCAGGACCGAAGCAAGCTTCGAGGTTCCCACCTGTTACCAAAAATCACTTAACATTCTGAACCCCCTATGGGGGTTGTATCAGATATTAAGCTGATAAGAACAGATACTACACTTTTGATCTTAGCACATAGTGCCGAGAAGCGATACTCAGCTTGGATTTGGCTGACTTCATATAAGGTTCGCTAACAGAAATTGACCGCGAGAGAAACACGCCGCATAGCGGCCAAGGAGTAAACTGCCGAAGGCAGTTGGGACGATGGAGTAGTAGTAGTAGTGCGGTCAGTCTAAAAGCAGTTTACCTGAATTCCTTTAGAATAAAGTAATGGGTGAAAGTGAGAGGAGATGTGCGAACAGCGAGATGATAGTTTAATTGATGTGTACTCAGAGTTATGCAGGGCATATTTCTAAGGGATTTACTTTGTAAGACAACTATCTTACAAAGCGTTACAGCCATTCTTCAAAAATGTGTACAGAATAATTTGAAATTGAAAAAAAATACTTAAAATAAAAATATACATAAAAGTATATAAAAAAATATTTAAAATAAAAATATATATAAAAGTATATAAAAAATATTTAAAATAAAAATATTTATAAAAAAATAAGTAGGGATTTCGCGTTGCTTTTTGATATTTCGTAACTCGGTTATTTTTCATCGAAATTACATCATATTTTAAGAAAATACAATAAACAAAAAATTGACTTTCTCCCCAAAGTTTTCAATTTACTGTTGTTCATTTCACAAGATCACACATCGACAGCCGTATCGACTGCCATTGATTGTACAAATTGATGGAAATTAACCGGTAATCGTATTACTAAAGATACAACAAAGATATGCGATTCAAGACGCATATATATTTCACCTCGTTTCATCGACTCCCGATTGGCTGTATTACCAATTTTGTAAATGCAATTAATTTTACCTTACACGTGATTTAATGAGATGCAGCGGTATCATAACGTCATTCACCGGGAGGGCGACTACCACGGCGCATTCAACATGTTAATTTATCATTCGAAGTACGCATTACATTCGCGCTTTGCACAACTGATGATAATGCCTTGATGTTTTTTCTGTTTCAGGTAAGTTTCACCTTACTTCTCGGTGATTTCGTTTGGTCTAGCGAGCGCTATTTACGAACGGGCGCAAGGTAAGCAGAAGTTATAATCGTTAGATTCAAGTTACAACGCGGCTCGAGAAAGGTACGTTAACGACCTGCGCCTGCACGCAGAAAAACATCATTCTACTGCCAAGAAAAGCGATTTACTCAGTTGGCTTTCCTTTTTCTGAATAACGATTATCTTCAACAAAAAATATTTTCTTCATGATAGTCTGAAGATATACTCATAACGAATTTGAGAAAAGTTCATTATCATGTGTTAAAAAAAAGAATTTATTGTTTTTACAAGAATATCATAAGACATTGTTGAAAAAAATGTTGGCTTGATTTGAAGTAGTAAGTACTTTTTATTCAATTTAATATTTTTGATTAAAATGCTAAACTTGCTGGAATTCAGAATGTATTGTGACGTTTATGACGAACTTACGATAGATTTATGAGTATATTATAAATAATTGCAGAATAAATACTTTAAACTTATAAATACTTTATACTTATAAATACTTTAAACGAGTAAATTTATTCGAGTATGCAGTACGCTCTTTTCTGCGTGCAGTTCGACTTACTTCGCATACAGCGTAAAGCGCAATGCCGTCTTTCGAAATCAAAACGAGACAACGCGGTGTCTCTAATGATATTGCAAATGCCAAGACGGAAATGTCAGTTTTAACGGAGAAAAGTGGAACGCGCGCTACGAATGTGCGCGCGTGCACACACACCGCACACAGTGCGGTGTTATCACCGCGGTTACGTGGAATCATGAATTATGCATATTCCTGCAAATTGCAATCAGCGCTGCGTTCATTATGCGACACCTGTCCTAACCGCAGGTAAGATTTTCTAGCGCATGCGATCGATTCACGAGACGTTGCTGCGCGCGCGGCATTCCTACCGACGAGATGCGGCCACGTGCTCTAACTCAAGATGGTAAGGGAAACTGGTTCCTTACGGTTAGAGCGGGGAGAGTCGAGCGCTCCGCGCGGTAGTACGACCGCTAGCCGCTAGGCGGCAGAACGGACGACTCTCTCCTCTCCGGTTCTCTCGCGGTTAAATTTTGTTCGGGCACTCTATATAAAGCCGGCCAGCGGGAGTCAGGGCATCGCTTCTCGGCACTATGTGCTAAGATCAAAAGTGTAGTATCTGTTCTTATCAGCTTAATATCTGATACAACCCCCATAGGGGGTTCCAGATTTATTAAGTGATTTTTGGTATAAGGCAGGTATGCAGAGCTTGCTCCGCTCCTGCCACTGGTCGTCCTGGCACTGCACTACAGCTAGGCGCGGCCTCACTGAACTATTCAAAACATAAGAATTTTTAGGATGCGTTCTACTTTTAACGCTCGAGTCAACCATCTACGCCGCTATATCCTTAGTTCTAAGGTGTTAAACAATGACGAAAATAGTCGATGTGGGCAATGAGTTGAACGCGCACATTCTTAGACAGTAAAGAAAAAGAGTATCCTTTTAGGTATCGCGAAGAATTTCTTCTCACTTTCTGAAAGAGAGCGGGAGAGAGAGAGAGAGAGAGCGCCGATTGTTCCAATCTCTCTTGATAAGCTATTTAACAGTTAAGTCAAGTGTCTGTCTGTCTAATTTGAAGAAAAACGAAAACAGACTTATGATTTAACTGTCAGATAACTTACCAAGTTATCCGACTTAAGAAGTTGGAACAATTGGCTCGAAGTCAAGAAAGAGAGAGAAAGGAAAAACCTCGTGATTCTCTCGAAGCAAAAAAAAAAAAAGATACACACAAGTTGTGCTCCATCGATGTCGCGAACTTGTTCGTCAACTTCTTCCGTCCTCCTCTACTGAGAGAGCAGAAAGTGTGTGAGAGTTGGAAAATGTGCGTAGAATATTGAATGTATTACAATACGCTCTACAGTGTGAACGGGAGTGGTTCTAATGAACAAATTACGATTTTTGTTATTTCATATAGACTCATTCTAAAATATTGTTGGTCTTCTCGATGTTGCACGATTGCATAAGTTCTCATAAAAAATAAATGAAAAAAATCTTACAAAATAAATGTGAAACAGTTACTGTTTTATCACTGTTTCATATTGTAAACGTGTGTTATTGTTTAATTCTCTTTTTACGTTTTATGACTTTGAAAACGTCTTCTCTTCGGTCTGACGGAAAGGACTCTAAGGACAAACGTCAGCAGTGCGGTAGAGTAAGCGAACAACGTATGTTGGGATTTAGTCGCGTTATTATAGTCGCAATCTCGATCAGAATGTGCGAGTATACGTGTCATCATTATTGTCTCGCGAGCGGAACGAATTCAATATCAAGATCGGTCCTAATGATAATCGGTAACTATGAGGAATGATCCCCTGGCAACGACTCCATTACGGAAATTAATCGCTCCGCCGGAGCGGACGGTGCAAATCGTTTCAGTAATCAGTAATCATGGAGAGCCGTAGTCCGTCCTCTCTTTTACGAGACCTTCGTGCCCGTCTCGCTGTCTCTTTCTCTCTCACACTCTCTTTCTCTTGTTCCCCTCCGTGCACGAGGCGTTCGCTCTTCCTTTCGTTCTCCCTTGGAGAATACGCGTGTAGATCAGTGCCTCCCAACCTTTTTGCACGCGAGATTTTCTCGCGGGTGGTCCTTCGGAAGCGCGTCCTGACACGTGACCTGCCACGTTGGATTACGAGCAACACGCGCGATTTTTACTACATCGCGATATATCGTGTGATTTCTCACTTGCGCAGACGTCAATCGCGCGTTATCTACACTTCTCTCAATTAACGGTATAAAATTCATATAGAAAATAATGTCTCTCTGCGAGATGATATACTGATAAAAAAATATTTGATATTTGTGATTATAATCGCATAATAAAAAAATTATTATGTATAACAATATATGATTATATTATATATAATTATATGTATAGTTAAGTAGAACAAGACCTTATTTTTAATTTGTGATAATAATTTTGCATGCGTATTCTGACTGCAACTTTTTTGTTAGAACAACAATGTGCAGATTCACGAGTTTCGGGATACGAAAAGACGCGTTACGTAACTAGACGGTAAACATTAAATCAATAAGAAGGGGGACTCGCGTCGCGTAAAAATTCGTTGACAGACACTGGCCTAGATTCGTTCGTGCGTTCGATTCGCGTGTTGAAATTAATCGGCGGCGATACCTTAACGACACTTTAACGACGCCTTAACGCACCGTGTTTCCGAGCTGTTCCCGGTTGTGTGAGAGGGGGGAGAGGGAGAGGAATGGGAATATTTATTACTCACTAATAGTCGGTCGCCTAAAAATGTCGCGAGCGCCGCGATTATTGCGGTACGCGAAATTTGCATACCGCTTCATCGACGCGGCTCATAAGTGGGAATTTTGCAGGTGGAATGGAGATAAATTGGCCGGCTAATGGGCCGATAGTTCGTTACCAGGAGGACATAATCACGCGCCGCGACATTAAAATTAATCGAACCCCGGCAAAAACCAGATCGGCCAACGAAGCGACGGCGCGAGACAGCGAAAGTGAAGGATGAAAAGGGGGAGAGGGGGGAGGAGGAGGAGAAAGAAGAGGAGGAGTCGGCGAGGTGTCGGGCGAGAAAAACGCGAAATGAAATTAACGAAGATCACAGGTAGGGGAGGGGGAAGTGGCAAGAAAGGCGCGAGGGGGAACGTAACTAAGTTAAATGAGGTTGCGAGTTCAATCTAAAGTTAAATAGCTTCCGATTTCCCATCCGCTCGTCCTCGCACTCGTGCTCCGTCCATAACTTGTCGTGACGCGAGTTATTCATCAAATTTTTTCCCCGCGCGAACGATGGATTGGAATAAACGTCGCGGATTAACAAGCGTTACGCGATCACCGCGCTATAATCAGCGACTTGGTGTCGATTCGAACCGACTGTGATCTCTCTTCTTTATGTCGCACGGCAGAAACAATATTGATGGAAACAATATTAATCAGAATTCAGGATGTATCCGATTGGTTTTAGTGAGATACGAACCATATTTTTTTGGTTCAAGTGGCTAGACAAGTTTGCTTATACTTTAGATCAAATAGGATTATATTTAATTGATTACTAGCAATTTCATTTAATTGATTATAGAAATTTCATTTAATTGATTACTAGCAATTTCGTTTAACTGAATATTACAATATTAGCAATTTTTGGTTATATATTATTAGTCTTCTACATTCAAAACATGGATATATTCAAGTTAACGCAATTATTTTCTTGTATCTAACCAATAATATTGATATTCTTTTCTTAGAATATTAATATTAATATTCTATAAGATAATTAATAATAATTATATTAATTTGATTATATTTGTTTTGAGATTGAAGACTAATTTATCTTCGTTCAATACTGTATAATCTCATTTTAACATCTCAACATATAATCATTTAACATTAATCTTATTTTTAAAGCATCAACAATAAAGATATTCTCCAAACAAGAAAATTCTTTTTTCTGTGTAATAACCAGGAATTCTGTCTAGTTCAAGCAACAGTCGCTGACCAAACGCGTCACGTTTACCCGAACATGCTTTGTAGTCACAATAAGCGGATACTTAGATGTTACAGTTGAATCAGCAGTAACCAAACTCTGACCGTTGTTAGACCTAAATGTTCTGGTTGGCTACCAGAATACATTTCAATCACAATAACCACCGAGATTCTGTTCAAGCGGATCTTGTTAAACCAAACATGTCGAGTTAATCCGAGCGCTTCCTCTCCCGTGCGCGTGTGCGTGTCCCGAGCGAAATCGAGCGAGATCGCGCGATCGCTCGATCGAACGTGCGATTAATTTATCGTCGCTCCTGCGACTTCCGTTCAATCTAGCGAGCCAAGGCTGCTGCGCGCGTCGACGTCGACGCTAACGATTATTAGCACGCGAGATGAAGCTCCGTCGTGGCGGCTTGTCGAATTTGTTTTTGTCCCAGCCAGTGGCTCCTGCCACTTCGAAACGGCCTCGCCCCTTCACAATCCAACTCAATGTACGCTAATTGGTGCATTCGCCGCGTCGCGATATTTTACTGTCCGGCATTTAATATCTCGTTTGCCGGCCATTCAGCCACAGGCACCCCCGGGGGCACCCGGATCGGTCGCCTTAAAACCGCGCTTTTAGCGGCGGAAGAATCGCGCCGGAGAGTGACGTTTCTGACGAGACGCTTTATTATCCTCGCGCGCGATATCGCTGACCCTCGCGAGATCGGCATGCATTTTTCGCGAGACGCTCGCGAAAAAAATATAGCTGTGCACGCTAAAAGAGGATAGAATAACGCGTGGAAAGTCACGTCTCATTTGGAGAATTTTATTTCATTTTTATCTCACATCTTTATTCTCGGATCTTTATTCTTGGAGTTTTGTTATATTATTGGTTACATGCTTCGAATTTGTGTTTTATTTTGAGAGATTCTTATTCTTTTCTATTTTTATTTAAGATTTTATTTAAGATTTTATTTAAGATTTTTATTCTTAGACTTCTGTTGCATTGATTATTTTGAAGTTGTCTTATTTTGAGATTTCTATTTTTTTCTATTTTTATCTAAGACCTTTTTTCTTAGTTTTTTCCTGTATTGGTTATTTTGAGGTTTCGTCTCATCTCGAGATTTTTATCCCGTTCTACGTTTACCTAAGAATTCTGTCCCTGAACATTTACTTTTGTTCTTAGGCTTATGCTTCATTGGTCACTAAGTATACGATAATACAATTACGTTGCGTCTAGCGCGATCGACGATTTGGAAAGATCCATTTGAAGATGAGAAACTTTTTTGCATGTCGGTCCTCTTTCGCTAATTCTCTTGGGCAGTCTTTTTGTACAAATATATAACGCGTTAATCACTATCGATAAAATACTTCAGTCTCTATCGTTTTGTTCTTGAGCGAAAACACACTCACCGTCGATTATTTCCGTTGCGAGCAGGCTCGCTCGCGCGCATCAATCTTCGCACGCGAACTTTTCCTTATTATTTAATTTACCGCTAATTAAACGTTGCTCAAGCGGGAAATGGAAGGCCGCATTGCCGCCTGAAAACGGGTACGTTTACCCGCCACTGTGAGGAAGGGCATTCCTCTTCCTCCTCTTGCTTCTCCTCCTCCATCTCTCTCTTCCTCCTTCCGATACGCCAGCTTCTCCCGCGTGTTAACCCTTTAATTGATCGCCCGAGGCGAGGAGCTCTCCTCTCTTCCCCTACAGTCGCGAAAAACTGCTTCGATTTCATTCCTGTTTCCTTTTTACGACGTACGTTCGTAATCCCGCGCCGCTACACCGAGCGAATTTTTATCCGCGCGTATTCGCGGCAATTCGGAACAGCGGT